CAACACATGGCGGCTAAGCTGGGGAGCTATGAGCAAGCCCACACCAGCCCGCCGCCTCTCACCGCGGGCAACTCCAGAGTAGTAGAGAGTCCACTCTGCACTTTACTTGAGTATTTTTATTTTCTGCTACGTCATGACTTTATTAATCACCTGTGTAAAATTCACAAGTTACCCAGCAGTAGTTCACAATTCTTTGTGTTGTCTGGTAACGTGATGAAATGTTATTTGGAAAATCTTAGTATGTGAACATAGTAGTAGGACAAGCAGAGTGAACCTGGAGCTTTGGGAGCCCATTAGGTTCTATGGTAGCTACAATACAACTGCCTTAAGCTTAGTAGTACTCATGATGAAAGGTACTTTGTCTTAGCCTGCATGTGCTGTGCGTACTATTTTCATCACCGAGAAACTCTGGGAAATATAAATCTGCAATCAGATGAATTTCTGCATCTGTGGGCTGAATTATTGTTTAGTTGGCAGCAGCTGCTCCAACAGAGGTTTTTCTGTTGCTCTCAAAAAGAAAAACAAAGCAAACATCTGCATCATGAATGGCATTTAGGAGAAAAGAATATCACATATAGACTATTCTCCTGCATTAGTAAGGCAATATTCAGATGTGAGTAGCAGTGCACCAAACATACAAATATGGGATTTTTTTGTGTGATCATATTGACAATTAGGAGTAGAAAAAATAAAATACTGTAGCCAGATTAAAACTGAGATTGGAGAACAGAAAAATAATCAGGGAAACAATGGAAAAGAACTAGAAAATAGAGTATGATTTCAAGGCCTATATAATCTGTGTTTCACTGCCTCATACTGGAATAAAGATGAGTTACACAGTGCTAATATGAAGATTGAAAATCCTGACCAAGCAGCATAAAGAGAAAATCAATGAAAACAACATGATGTTCATGGTCAGTCAGAGCAAAGCTGTGGCTTCACATGCTTTGTGTTTGTGTGCATCACCTGCTGTGGAAGATTAGCAAATTACACTGCTGCTGTTTTTAGAGCCTTCAAATATAACAGGGGTCTATGAATATAGTGCAGCTGCCACTGACACACCTACATACACGCACCCCAACTGAAGTGATTCAACCACAACCACAACCTCACACAAACAAATGGAAAGGAAAGCATACTCAGTTGCATATCACATAACAAATTATACGGTGATCAAGTAAGTGGGTGTGCATGTCTGGTCACCCCTGCAAGAACATGAGCATGCTAATCTGCAAATGTGTGTCTGTACACTGTGCGCAGGTTTATGATGGCGTGCCTGTATATGTGCATATGTGCATGTCTGTGTATGTTTGCTGTGAGCCAGTCATTGTGGCCAGATGGGATCAATACTCCCCTCTATCATAACTGAAGCGTGCCCTGGTTTCTGCACTGCTGTGTCATCCCTCCAGCGTGCACTGTCAAGCACAATTTTTTTCTAGCAAATTCTAAAACTGAGCTGGAAAAATGTGTGTCTTTACTCGCAGAGCCTGCTTTAACAAGTAATGCTGGAGAGACGTGACAATGGGAAAAGGTACAGTAAAGATGAAGTCTGGAACAATAGTAGCAATAATATACAGATGAACATAAAGCAAAAAGAAGATACATCAGAGAAAGTAGGTGTTAATCTGAAATAAACCCAAAGCACAATATATTGTGTGAAGCACAGGGTACCTCCCTCATACCTTCTACCTTTGCAGGGACACCAGTGGCAGCTTTGCTATATTGCCACTGCAACATAATCAGCTCATCTATATGCTGTCAGCAGCTAAAAGATAGCCTGCCAACATTACTGGAGAAGAGATTATGATATGTCACAACAATAGTTTAAAGATTTTCTGTGCTTTACCTATTTCATGCAAGTATGGATCTCTACATATAATACTATAAGATGCTCTCAAGTCCTCCTGGGAAAGGTAGCTGCTGTGCCGGGCGTTGAGATGGCACTGGGCAGAAACAAAATATAAACTCTATAAGATGCTCTCAAGTCCTCCTGGGCAAGGTAGCTGCTGTGCTGGGTGTTGAGATGGCACTGGGCAGAAACTAAATATAAACGGCAAGGAAGCTGCTTTATTTGCTTTTGATATTTGATCTGTAGAGAGCAAAGGCTTCTTTTATGATACTGTGGCAAAATAAATAGGAGAGGATGCATTTTAGGTGCTTAATTGTGTTTGATCAAGTAACTAAGCCTATAGCCTAGACATCATGCATATCCAAATTTTTGTCCATAGGGGTGTGGTTTGTCTGTCCACAACTTTAATCCACCCTGAACGCCCATTAACAACTAATGGATGCCATGAAATTACAAGCTATTGTTAGCTTGCAGTACATTCAGAGCAGCTGCAATTTGACAGCCTCTGGGTAAAATCTCTTGAGCTTTCTTCCTTAAATTACCAGAGGACAGAGCGTAACAGAAAACATTTCAGACCTGGTCACCATAGCAACAATTAGGTAACTGTTGGTCCTTAATCATCTATCAGACACAAAAGGAAATGGAAAAAGGATGAATGGATGGACAGAGATGAAAGCAGACCCAACGGATATTTAAAAATTAAAATAGAGGTCTTACTCATTCAACCTTACTGATGCAGTGGTTTAAGTACCTGCAGACTGCATCAGACCAGTGGATGTGAAAACATCTTGTGAAGGGGAAAAATATGCTTTCTCACTGTTTTTACTAGAGCCCAAGCAGCATTTTATTTGCAAAAAGGTTGCAATGATTGATTTCCAGTCCAGTCCAGTCTGTCAGCAGAAGACAGCTGCTGTCAGTGATAAACAATGATCATGATCAAACCACAGAGTGTGCACCATTTTCAGATTTTAAGTCAGTGAAAATTGCCTTCAGTGTATAGTGTTAGTGAACAGAATCCACAAGTTTCCAAGAAAATGTCTGTTTTTTGTTTTTTACTTAAAGGAGAAGGGCTGGACAACATGAAAAGATTTACTAAACTATCGACTTTGGAAAGAAGCAACAGGGAAACTCAGAGCTACAGACAAACCAAAGTCAGCGATACACTAAACAGGAAATGTACAACACAGCCAGAGTGACAACAGGGAAACAACCACACAGATACAAGGTCACTAGATAGAAGCACACAGAAACTAAAAATAAGTTCAACCTAGTAGATATAAACCACTTAAACAACTGAAGTACTACAAAAGCAAGCAGTGCCGTCAGAGAACAGATTCCAAGAAAATAAAATAAAATACTACCCAGAAAACAAACTGACCAGGAACCAGAGACCATCCCAACATGGGGAACACAGAAGCCCATAGATACCAGAGTCCATACAGCAGAGGAAAAAGGCACACAGGGCTGAAGAAAAGGGGTGTGACGGGATGTCCTGTGGACCATAGCAATTTTCTATACAGGGTGGGCCATGGAAAAGTAGCCTTACAAAATGAATGCTCAGGCTCTTTCTCAGCACCAAGTAGCTGTTGGATATTCATATATGAGCATTCAGGTCTGTGGGCCTCCCAGTACATCTACAGTCCTCTGACCAGCTCCAGTGGAGCAGCTGTGGGGTTAAATGCCTGTCTCAGGGGCTCTCTGTGGTATTTACAAATGCACCGGAGGGTTTTACTTGCTCATTTGGCTTTCTCAGCGTGTCTGGGGACTCATGTCACAAGCTCTAACCTTTAGCTCACACACTCTGTAAATACCACTGTGTGAATTTCCTACATATGGATTTCATAGCACTGGTGTTGCATCCCCAGGCAGAAAATTTAGTTTAATAATAATTCAACTACCAGAAGAAAAACAAAAGAAGAAGCCCTTAAACTCAATTGCAGACAGCTTTTTGGAAATACTATATACAATGACATGCTCCAAAGATGCTAAATTGGCACCAGACATACATTTGGGGACACAAAAAAATGCAAATTTAAAATCTTGACTCAAAGTAGAAGCTAAAAAGAACAGTACACTTTACATTATGTGACACTGTAATTCAATGTCTTGCCCAAGGGCAGTATGTAGAGCAGACAGGCCGGGGATCCTTCCAGAGTTTAATGGCAGGTCCTCCGGGTTCAGCACTCTGGACAGCGCCGTCTGTCTTGATGAAGGTTTTGTACATATACACACAAAGAGGTACTACAACCAAAACCATACATAGTAGCTATCTGTACAGAAAACAGAAAACAGAAGAAACAGGCTTATATATGATAATTTGTCAGCAAAC